ACACAGAGAGTGTTCCCAGACTAGGAGCTTGGACTGATTCTGGTCCTGGAATTGTTTCCGAGAGTCCATCAGCTTAGAGGCGTTAACTGATACAACTAAACATGGGGCTATAGCTGAAACCCAAAGAGGACATGTAGAACATTTCTGACCTCTCATGATTAACAGCTGGTCCATAGTTTGGTCTCCTTCACCTGTCCAGGTGGTCCGTTGGATAGTAAATTCAGCTAAACTGTCAGAATGAGTTGTTCTCAGTGTAATACCAAATCCCCAACGATTGGAGCAATTGGTATCAGGTATAGAAGGGGCACAAACTTCTCAGAAAACCTCTCAGAACATCGATTTTTTTGGGAAAGTGTTTTAGTTTTGTAGAAAAATACTGTTGTTATTTGTTTCTATGACCAAATGTATTTTTATTTAGTTCAATGTAAACAAAATGATGTACACAATAATTAACTAGTAGTGCTGTGGTGTTGAAATGTAACTGATAACACACCTTCTACGTGTTTATATGCTTTTTATGTCTTTATTCAGAAAATTCTCATTTTTTGGCTCATTTCTTCAAACTGATTTATGAATTTCACACTGAGATTTTCTCTGCTGACTGTGTGTGTGTATGTGTGTGTGTGTGTGTGTGTGTGTGTGTGTGTGTGTGTGTGTGTGTGTGTGTGTGTGTGTGTGTGCGCGCGCGCGCGTATGGTGAGGTCAGCTCACCATATCAAGACACAGCAGACTTCCTGTCTTGGAGGGTGAGGGGTGGGAGGGTAACAACCTGCTGAATGAGCTCTAAAGGGGACGCCTGGACGGAGGAGTCAAGAGAGAAAGCTTCTCAGACCATATGAAGAGAAAATATGACTTAAAAGCTGGAAAAGCTGAGAGACGAGGAGCAGAAACAGAGTCAAGAAAGAGAAGAACAAAGAAGGCAGAGGAAGATAAAGATCAGAAAAGCAGGAAAACTTAGATAGAGGTAAGACAACAACTCCCAACCAGAACATTTTATTTGATGAAGCTGCCATCAGTTTCAGTGACAACCTCTAAAGCAGTGATGATGTAATACTCAACTACATTAATTTATATTGATTTAGTTTTGTGTCTGAAGCAGCATCCAGTTTATGATCATAGACCTTCTTATCATCAGGAGAAGAATCAAGGAATAACAGATAAAGGATCTGCATTAAACATATATCTGAGACGGAAATAGTAAACATTTATCTGCCAGCCAGCAGAGTCCCATTACCTCAAGATCTGTATCCTTAAAAAATCCAAGAAAGGCCAAAGAGAATAAAAAATTAAGTTAGCATTACAAGGAAGGACCTGTGAGTCTGATTAACTATTCCTCTGTAGGATAAATCAGCCTCTTCTGACTGATCACTGTCATCGTTAAAGGAGCAACAGACCATAAAGATAAAATTGACTCGTTATCAACAAGATGTCACCTTCAGTTTGGTGTCTTCTGCTAATGATTCTTTAAATGTAGACGGTTTAATTCAGTTCAGTTTATTTAAACAGCGCCAAATCACAATTCTATTAAAGTTATTAAAGGCTATTCACAAAGTAAACATTCCAATACAGGTCAGTTCATTAAGCCAATCAGTAAAAAGTTTCCTTTATAAAGAACCCAACAGATGACATCGAGTCACTGACTAGTGTCAGAGTCTTTACAGCAATCCTCATACTAAGCAAGCATAAAGCAACAGTGGAGAGGAAAACTCCCCTTTAACAGGAAGAAACCTCCAGAGGATCCTGGCACAGCACAAGCAGCCATCCGCCACAACTAGGGATCAAGAAGACAGAGCAGAGTCACACACACCAACATGCACAGTTAACAGCTGAAATAGCAGGAAATAATGCAAATATAGAGTCGTGGTAGAAGAAAGTAGTCAAGTGTGGAAAGTGGTCAGTGTGTCCTCCAGCAGTCTAAGGCTATAGCAGCATAACTACAGAGATAACTGTGGATAATCTATCCTATTTAGATGGAGGCATGTTGGAGGCAGGGCAAGGGAGAGCCGTCTTTACCGACTGTACACTCCACCTCCCTCTACTCCCCCACTTGTCCAGATCTGGGCTAACATCAGATTTTAACCATAGGCCCTATCAAATAAAAATGTTTTAAGCCTAGTCTTAAAAGTACACAAGGTGTCTGCCTCACTTACTAAAGCTGTGCGCTGGTTCCATAGGACAGGAGCCTGAAAACTAAAAGATCTGCCTCCCATCCTTGTTTTGCATATTCTAGGAACCACCTGTAAACCTGCAGTTTTAGAGTGAAGTGCTCTGTTAGGAACATATGGAACAATCAGTTCACTGATGTATGATGGAGCCTGATTATCAGCCCGATTAGACACGATAAGTCTTCAGCAGTTTCTGATAAACATCCATTTTGGTCCCATTTTCTCAGAGACTGAAGTTATATCATTGTCATTTAAAAGAACCAGAGAAATTTCTCCAGGCCAAAGGTCAAAGATCCAGACAGGTTTTATTATTGAAAATAAAGTAAAACACCCTTGTGTGGGACAGCAAAATAACAATAAATGCATAAACAAAATAATATTTATTCACTGACAGAGTATATCCTTTTGACAGAGACATCAACAAGGAGGCGGAGCTTATCGTTGCAACAGTGGGTGGAGTTAGAGGAGATGAAGGGTTCTTACTCTCTTTGGGCAGTTGTCTTCCTGCTGAAGGCAGTCTCAGCCTCACAAACCTACTACACCCTCAGCCATTTGGAGGCTAGCTTTGATCAGGCCATGGCTAGCTGTTTTCCTGGAGTTCTCACAACCACAAGCAGCAAGGAAGAAGTTCAAAAACTGCATGAACTTCTAAACAATTCTGTAACATATCAGGAGGATGTGACAGTCTGGATCGGACTGAAGAAGACAAACGATGGATGCATCAATCCATCACTGCCGCTGAAAGGGTTTGAGTGGGTGGAGAACATCACACAGGAGTCAGAGATCCACACCTGGGTGGAGGAGCCGAAACTCACCTGTACAGAGACACTGTGCGCGGCTCTAAAATGGAAGGGAGTCCGGTCCGGAGTCGAGTTGGGTCTTCTTCCTGTCTCCTGTAAAACCAGATACCGTTATGTCTGCAAGGTGAAGGGTGAACCACCAGGAAGGGAACCAGCTACTACAAAATCTGTTGCATTAGAACCAGAACTGAGACCAGAAACAGCTGCAACATTCAAACCTGAACTAACTACAGCAGAACCAGGCCCAGCTTCACCAAAGCCAAACACTGATGCCAGCCCTGGATCTAGAACAAAACTAGATTCCTGTCAGAGTCTTGATGGAATTGAGACAAACAGGTTCAAGATTCGTTCCCTGTTTCTGGACCCTGATAACCAAACCTGGGTCCATGTACACTGCTGGTTGGACTTCAAACTGCACTTGTTCTGTACAGGTCATCCTGTCGTTTGGAGACAGGTGGACGGATCTCAGGCAGACTTCAGCAGCATCTGTCACTGTGAGGAAGGTTTTCAGAGAAACGCTTCAGGACACTGCATTGACATTGATGAGTGTGTCAGCAGGAAGCCCTGCAGGAGAACCTGCCTGAACACCAAAGGTTCCTTCAGGTGTGTCTGTGAGGAAGACTCTGATGAAGACCCATCCTGCAAAAACACAGCAAGCACTGAAGAGAAGAGCTCCATGATCCTCCTCCTGGTTCTCTTCCTGTTGCTACAGACCTGCTGGTGCCAACTGTGACTTCATAAATGCTGAACTGACTCTTGATCTGGATCGAGAAGACCTGAAATCACACTAACAGTTTTCCTTCATCAGACCAATCAGAAGGAAGCAAAACAAGAGACCAGAGGTGTTCGGAGAGCTTCCAGACCAACAGCACCTGGATGGTTTTGGTTGAAATAGTTTGTTTAATTTGATCAAATGTTCAATACAGTGGAGTGAAAAATTATTTGCCCTCTTCCTGATTTCTTATTCTTTTGCATGTTTGTCACACAAAATGTTTCTGATCATCAAACACATTTAACCATTAGTCAAAGATAACACAAGTAAACACGAAATGCACTTTTGAAATGATGGTTTTTATTATTTAGGGAGAGAACAAAATCCAAACCTACATTGCCCTTTGTGAAAAAGTCATTGTCCCCTGAACCTAATAACTGGTTGGGCCTCCCTTAGCAGCAATAACTGCAATCAAGCGTTTGCGATAACTTGCTACGAGTCTTTTACAGCGCTCTGGAGGAATTTTGGCCCACTCATCTTTGCAGAATTGTTGTAATTCAGCTTTATTTGAGGGTTTTCTAGCATGAACCGCCTTTTTAAGGTCATGCCATAGCATCTCAATAGGGTTCAGGTCAGGACTTTGACTAGGCCACTCCAAAGTCTTCATTTTGTTGTTCTTCAGCCATTCAGAGGTGGATTTGATGGTGTGTTTTGGGTCATTGTCCTGCTGCAGCGCCCAAGATGGCTTCAGCTTTAGTTGACGAACAGATGGCCGGACATTCTCCTTCAGGAGGTTTTGTAGACAGTAGAATTCATGGTTCCATTTATCACAGCAAGCCTTCCAGTTCCTGAAGCAGCAAAACAACCCCAGACCATCACACTACCACCACCATATTTTACTGTTGGTATGATGTTCTTGTCTGAAATGCTGTGTTACTTCTACACCAGATGTAACGGGACATTTGCCTGCCAAACAGTTCAACTTTTATCTCATCAGTCTGCAAGGTATTTTCCCAAAAGTCTTGGCAATCATTGAGATGTTTCTTAGCAAAACTGAGACGAGCTCTTTATGTTCTTTTTGCTTAAAGATGTTTCTTAGCAAAACTGAGACGAGCTCTTTATGTTCTTTTTGCTTAAAGATGTTTCTTAGCAAAACTGAGACGAGCTCTTTATGTTCTTTTTGCTTAACAGTGGTTTGCGTCTTGGAAATCTGCCATGCAGGCCATCTTTGCCCAGTCTCTTTCTTATGGTGGAGTCGTGAACGCTTTAGAAGTTGTCCTGGGGTCTTTTGTGACCTCTCGGATGAGTTGTCTCTGTGCTCTTGGGGTAATTTTGGTCGGCCGCCCACTCCTGGGAAGGTTCACCACTGTTCCATGTTGTCATTTGTGGATGATCGCTCTCACTGTGGTTCACTGGAGTCCCAAAGCTTTAGAAATGGCTTTATAACCTTTACCAGACTGATAGATCTCAATTACTTTAGTTCTCATTTGTTCTTGAATTTCTTTGGATCTTGGCATGATGTCTAGCTTTTGAGGTGCTTTTGGTCTACTTCTGTGTCAGGCAGCTCATATTTAAGCGATTTCTTGATTGAAACAGGTGTGGCAGTAATCAGGCTTGGGGGTGGCTACAGAAATTGAACTCCAGTGTGAAAGACCACTGTTGGATTATTTAAAAGGGGGCAATTACTTTTTTCACACAGGACAATGTAGGTTTGGATTTTGTTCTCTCCCTAAATAATAAAAACCATCATTTCAAAACTGTATTTTGTATTTGCTTGTGTTATCTTTGACTAATGGTTAAATGTGTTTGATGATCAGAAACATTGTGTGACAAACATGCAAAGAAGAAATCAGGACGGGGCAAATTGTTCACATCACTGTACATGTAAATAAAAAGGATGACTTTGAGCTCATGAATCGGTGCAGCTTTGATGATCAAACACAACGATGCAAAGCCAGATCGGTCAAGCCTTCAGTAGCTATAACTGTTATAATGGAGATGATTGTGGGCTTACAGCTGATGAAAACCCACATCTCAGTCAATCAGAATATTGTGAAAAGGTTCAATATTCTAGACTCAAAGTGTCACACTCTAATCAGCTGATGACTCCAGAACACCTGAAGAGGGCTCCTGAGCCTTTAGATGGGCTCTCAAGATGACTTACTGAACTATTGCACCATATTAAAATTTTACTAATACATTTTTACAAAATAAAATAGTATTGAACACCACTGCTTCCTGTCATGTTGGCAATATGTTTAACCCAGGACATGAAAGAATCACAAGCGGAGACGAGGGTGAGTAAAATTACAGATAATATTAAAGAACGAATAGTAAAATAAAGCGCTGCTCCAAACGAGAACAGGAGGGAGCGAGATCTGGAACGAAAGAACAGGCTGGGATTAAAATCACAACAAACAAACCCTGGAACCAGAGAACCAGAACAGGAATGGTTTGGAGAGTTTCTCTTACTGGGAACGTTTAAATCTTTGGTGAGGCTGGGCTGGGTGGTTGAAGCCAAGCGGGGACAGACAGGACACAGAGGCTGAGGATCCAGGCTGGGATGAGTGAACAGGTAGCGAGGCAGGTACTGCTGTAGATCCGGAGGAGGTTGGTAGGCAGACTGGGAACGGGTAGGGTGACCGGCGAGCGGCGGAGAGCAAGGAGACCAAGGGACGGTGAGCGACATGATGTAAACAACTCCAGGCGGTGGTGAGTAATCCTGAGTAACAGATGAGTAGAGTTCAGAACACAAGACCAGGGCTGACAGGAACAGACTGACTAGAATACACACAGAATATCAAAAACTAAACTTGAGACAGACTAGTGTTACCCAAGATGCGAGTATCAACCGGTACTGGAGTTGTGTCCCACTGCTCCTTAAGTACCCCTGGTCCTCTGATCAGGGAGATCAGGAGCAGCTGGCTCTCCGACACGCCCACCTGAAACACAAACTTTAAACAACTGCTGTGCATTATGTGAGCTGATTAGTGAGCGGGGCAGATTGTGACACTTCCTGTTCTCAGTGGGCGTGGCTAAGGTGTGTTCAGAACTGACATCGGATTTAACATGTATGGTGCAGATCAGATGGTTTGTGTTCACCAATCAAAGTTAGAGGTTTAGGTGAGCCCACATCCTGAGAAAAGGTTTGCTAAAAGGCAGAGTCACTCATTAAAATCTCTTATTAGAAGAAAAACTAATCAGAACTTCTTGTGATGTTCAGGGAGGTTTTCAGTCAGTTCTTGTGGTTCTTGTAGTCCACAATCAGTTCTTTTCGATTCTGGTGGAGCTCCAGGTCCACTCCCCAGAAGAGAGATCTTTGATCTGGACCCTAGGATCTGCCTCCATCTGGTGGCAGCACCTGACTGTCACAACACTCAGGGTGCATTATGGGTGATGCAGTTCTGTGTTACACTGCAGGTGGTTTGGAAGGAAGACTGCATCCTCTGGTCTGGTTCCACCCTGCCCCAGAAAACTGCTAAATAGGTTAATAACTTCCCCTCCGCGTTCTTAATGGGGGCCTTGGACCTTGTCTGTTTTTATCAATTTTTGAGGAGTGAGCACCATCTCACCCCTGACCCCGAGCAGGAATCAGCCATCCTCACAGCTAAACCGTCACCTGTCCTGGAGGGGTCATCATCCCCTCATAGGACAACAGGAGGGTTATAACTACTTAGAATCAAAACTAAAATCAGAACAGAAGAGCAGACCATGTGGATCATTTGGACCATCCATCCATTATCTATACCCGCTCATTCATGCAGGATCCTGGGGTGCCGGTGCCTATCTCCACCCCTCTTCAGGCAAATATAGGGGGGGGGGTTACACCCTGAACAGGTTGCCAGTCCACTGCAGAGACACACAGGACAGCCATGCTCACACAACATCACTCCTAAGGACAATTCAGAGATTCCAATCTACCTAACAGTCACAATTTGGGAGTGTGGGAGAAAGCCGGAACACCCGGAGAGAACCCGCAATAAGCACAGGGAGAACATGCAAACTCCATGCAGGTACAGGATTCGAACCCGGGACCTCCTTGCTGCATGAAACAGTGCCAGCCATCTGTGGTGCACAATCCAGGCCCTGGAGGTCCGTGTGCTTCAACAAACCTGAATCTATCCAGCAGGTGATTAACAGGCTTTAGCAGAGCTTGATGAGCTGCTGAACGGGGGCCTCTTATAAGAAGCCTGCTTACGCACAGAACTAGGTCTGAAAACTGTGGATTCTTCTTCTTTTTTAGAGCTGTTGCCCTTGTTGCTTATGCTCACACATTTTCATGTTTCATTCACTGTTTTAGTCATTTCACTATCCACGTTGATGGCTGCTGTACCGCCATTTTTTATGTTGGTGTGTCCTTGTTCCTTTTGTGCAGCACTTTGGTCAACTGTCGTGCCGTTTTGATTGTTCTCTATAAATGAACTTGGTATGGTATGTCATGAGGTGTGAGGTGTTTATGTCATGTGGTTGGACCTTTGGGTTCTGACGACATCAGCACATTTATGTACCTGAACCTGGTTCTGAGAGATATTTGGAAAGAAGCTGCTGGTGAAGGTTTGGTTATCCTGGTGACCTGAGGAGGTTCTAATGAAGAGACCTGGACTTCTTTGACTTCAGAGGATGTTTCAGTTCTCATCCCTTAGGTTGATTGATTCTACATGAGAAGTGCAGAAATCATAATTTGTTTCAAAATGTTTCTCCCACTCACTTATCTTCTGAACGGCTTTTCTCCACTAGGATGTCCATTAGGGAGCTGTCGAACTCCAGCAGTCACCAAGTGAGGGGTGGAGGACACCCTGGACAGGCCTCCAGTCCATCACACAACCAGTCACACAGTCACTTGGGTCTCCCTTTTTTTAGAGTCGCCAATGAACCTGCCTGAACTATCTGGTTTTCGTCTGTGGGAGAAAACCCGCACATGCATGAGGAGAACATTGTAACTCCACGTAGGAAGCCTCAGTCTCCTCCTCTTCTGGTTGGCTCACGGGTCTCCGGAAGAACAACAACAGGAATGGAAGTGAATGGGGCTACTAATAAATGGATGGATGAATATGTTTTTTTAAGTGTCATGCACAACACGTGCCCAGCCCATGTGGGCTTCTAAGGCACTATTTAACAGAAACAAGTGGCCATCTCAGGAACACTCCGTGGCGCGGGGGTGGGGGTGGGGGGCTTCAGATACACGCCACTCCTCGACTCCGCTGGTTTTGTGTTTAATCTTCCACATGAAGACAAGGTTAGGTCAGTCAAAGCTGTCAAAAATTAGCTAAAAGGACTTTGAAGCAGCAATGCTGAGATTTGGTGGGATGGAGCTTGAAAAAAAATTCCTTGAGTTGAATCTTTTATTAATTTTTTCTTTCTTTTAAGGGAAGGGGTGTTATGGCTGGTGCCTTTTTGCCCTGGGAACTGGGGGCTCGGAGCTCCCATTGACGTCATCGCCTGCCCTGAAGGAGAAATGGACAGAACCTTAGCGCTCCCATTAAAGTTGCTTTCTACTCCACTTTGCTTTACACCCTGGATCACACATATGTTGTACTTCAGTTTAACTGAAAATAATTGTGTGTGTTTTGACTATGTCTGCCTCGTGTTTTGAAATATGCTAGCTTGTAAAAATTCCTGATTAAAATGACTACAAATGAGATTTCACATACACGACATCACAGCGTAATCTCTTCTCCCCTAGCGTAACTGCTACTTACCACATGACCAGATTTATAGCAGTTTTTTCCACGTTTATTGCTCCTTCTGTCATCCTGGAAGAAGGATTCAAAGCTCGCTAAACTCACAGCTATTTTCTTCTCTGTGCTGGTCGATGATGTCAGCATGGTGAGATGCATTTGTAGTCCGATGTGTCTTTTCACACAAAACCTGAAATAACTTTTGCCGCCGTTGGAAATCTTGGCATCTAAATGTGTTTTAAATTCATGAACATCATACGTGAAATCCACGGCACGTATCAAACGCGATGTGAAGATACCTTCAACAGCCCCATTGACTTGCAATACATTTTCTTATTTCTGTGGACCCATGGTCTGGAAGTAGATGGGCCTGACTTAGGCTTCCTGTGTGTGTGTGTGTGTGTGTGTGTGTGTGTGTGTGTGTGTGTGTGTGTGTGTGTGTGTGTGTGTGTGTGTGTGTGTGTGTGTGTGTGTGTGTGTGTGCGTGTGCGTGCGTGCGTGTGCGTGTGTGCGTGTGTGCGTGTGTGTGTGTGTGTGTGTGTGTGTGTGTGTGTGTGTGTGTGTGTGTGTGTGTGTGTGTGTGTGTGTGTGTGTGTGTGAAGAACATGTTAACTCTACAGGTGAAGAACATGACTACAGGTGAGTCAGCACTGACCTGAACATCAATCTCAGACAGGATCCAGATCTTTGTTCTTTGCTACACAAGTTCTGGTCTAAAGACTACAAGTGCTGCAGAGGATGAGCCCATTGGTCCAGATCCAAACTACCATGATCAGATCCAACCAGGTTTGGTTCTCAGACACCTGAGTCCTTCAGGACATCTGTGATATTCCGTGGTGGACTTAAAACCAATATGGGTGAAAGCTCTGAACTGAACTGATCTAAACCCATCTGGACTTGGTTTACAAAAGATAGATTCTCTAGACACAGGTCCAGGACCAGAACTCAAATGAGTTACCGTACATCTTCTGAAACACTCAAACCCGATATGATCTGTAAATAGAACTTTTTTGAGTTCATAGAAGGGATTTTTTCATATCTGTGGTACCAGTGGACCCCATCAGAACCAAAAACAATTGGATCCCCTTTCAAACGCTGAATGTTTTCCTCCAGAGGTGGTTCTTGTTAGTCAAACTTTTGTTCTGGTTATGACAATAATAGGAATCGAGGAATCTAGTCTTCATTTGCCCCCCAACCCCCGAACCCCCTCCTCGGTCTTTGTGTCCTCTTAGTCTTTCGTTAGTGAGTGTCCTATAATCCAGCGCCTCATCCAGTTAATCCAGTCAGATAATGGTGAACAGTGAGCAGTTGTTCCAGTCTGTTACTTCCTCATTAACAGATTTAAACCACCAGACTGGGACCAGTCCTCAGAAAACCAGATCACAAACTCATCAGTTACACCATTAAGGTCACAAAACGTGAAAAACAAACAAAATAAAGATTATGAATGGATAATGTAAAGTTCAGAGAACAAACTAATGACCTTTATTTCCTTTATTATTGTAACTAATAAGAACAATGTATTATTATTATTATTATTAATAAATAAAGAACAGACATTTTGAATTATCTCCTGATTTTTGACTAAAGAATATTATCGCCAAACTGATGTTTTAAAATTTTATTTAAATTAAACTTATTCTGCACATCATTATTGTCCAGATTATTCTTTGGTTGTGTCGAAAACACAGAAAATTGATGTTCAGATGCAAAAGATTCAGATTGATATAATCAATTTTGTCTGTCTTTTGTCTGATCCTTATCAAACTTTTATTTTGAAATGGGAAGTCAGTTTTATTCGTTTAAGTGTTTGTAAAATGATTTTATTCACAAAGAGGATTAATCTTAATCAGACCATCGGGTCTGTGAAGTGATTTTAATATTCTGGGTTTATTATTTATGGTTTATTTAGTTTATTCCTTCAAAATAAAACATGACAGTCAGACACATTTTGTGTAAGAAAACGTAAATCACACTTATTATTATTTTTTTGTTGTTAATGTGAAATGGATGGCTTAGTCAGTTTAATCAAAACGCTCCAGACGTGATCTTTCACAGGATCAGAGTTTTATTGTTTAATTATTTAAAATTTCAATTTCCAGAAATTTGGTGATTTAGTGAAAATATTTTAGATTTACATCTTTAATTTCTACACATTCGTTTGATCTCCAAAACATCCAGAACCCGCTCGGTTCGGTTCGATTTCAACACAACAGCAACACGAGTGTGTGTGTGCGTGTGTGCGCGTGCGTGCGTGCGTGCGTGCGAGTGTGTGTGTGTGTGTGTGTGTGTGTGTGTGTGTGCGAGTGTGTGTGTGTGTGTGTGTGTGTGTGTGTGTGTGCGTGCGTGCGTGCGAGTGTGTGTGTGTGTGTGTGTGTGTGTGTGTGTGTGTGTTTTGGGTGGATGGGGGGGAGGGTCCAGAGGGCTGGACCTGCAGGAGGAAAGGGATCACATCAGACCCTCAGACCGCAGGTCACCATCATCATCTCCTCCTCCTCCTCCTCCTCCTCCTCCTCACCCTTCCTCCCTCACTTGCCCGCGCGCCTCCACCTGAACAGGGACGCATCTGGACCGGTCGGACCGAAGCGGGTCAGCAGGATCCGTGCTCCGGGCCAGGACTACCGTGATGCTGGGCTCGGTGAAGATGGAAGGTCATGAAGCTCCGGACTGGAGCGGATACTACAGCGAAGAGGTCGGTTCCGGCTCGGTTCGGTCTGACACAAACGGTTTATTATAATAGGCAATGTAAAAATAAAAGTGCCTGCGCGAGCACAATTAGTGAGTTAGGATCAGAAATAGTTTGTTAAATTTTCTAAAGCTCCTCTAAAGTAAATTTAACACGAAACCGAACCTGGTTCCAGAACCAGATCACAAGTTCGGAGTTTGAACACCAAGATTTTTGTTAGATCAGTTAGAGATTTAATTATTAAATCAGATTTGTGAAGGAAAGTGAAGAAAGCATGTAGCTTCATCAAGTTTACGGTAAAAAGCATGGCAGATAAAACGAGTAAATAAAAACGAATTAAACCAAAAACATTCTCTGGTTAAACCTTAATTGTCTCTAAATTTATGAGGAACAAAAACAATTAAAAACAAATAAAACCAGTGAACAAAACGTGTTTTCTGTTGGTAAAAAACGGCCTGTTTTCACATTGTTTGTTTTTGTTTTTTCAGGGTTTGCTGTGGCTAAAATATACAACACTAAAGTATTTATGATTATTGATGATAATGTAATCTGTTTGTTTTTAATGATATTCAAGTAACTGCTGTTCGGGTTTTCAGAATAAAATTAATCTGAAAACGAGAAAAAAATTATAAAGTTTCAAAAAAGTAAATGTTGCTGATGGTTCGGATGATTTATTCCATGTTTTATTTTTTCACCTGGAAATTTTATTTTTATTAGCTGCTGATTGTTGCCCTCAGCCTGAATGAGATTTAAAAATGTACTTTACTTTAAGCTCTGAAATGATCAAAATAAACTAATAATGAACCATTAATTAAATAAACTTTTATTATATAAAAATGTCTTTATTCAGTTACAAAACGGATCTGATGTAAAAGCATTAATTAAAATATTAAACATAAAATTTAATCAGTTTAAAACAGTGACCTGCTTAAAAATGAACAATATTTATGTATTAATTATTATTATTATTATTATTATTATTATTATTATTATTATTATTATTATTTAATTTGAAGTTTTTGATTAAAAATATATATATACATATTTTATATTAAATTTTAACACAGGCTAGGGCCAAAACAACATATTTCTCATTAATCATGAAACTTTATTTATTTTCCAACAGAACTCTAAACACGTTTTGAAAATGTTCTGAATTTATTTTTATCCATGAGGAGTTTGATAAAATGAGACTGCAGAAGAGAAGTCAGAAAACAGCTTTCTGATTAGTTCTAATGCAGTTTATGTTTAAAGCTCCATAAACAAACAGGTTTGAGCCTTCACAAACCTTTGATCTGCTATGGTCTCACTGGACCTTCCGACTTATTTCAGACTAAGTCTTGTCTGATTGATGCTGGATGTTCAGATGGTTCTGATTTAAATGGGTCAGATCTGGTTAAAGTGATTTTAATTGTCTGATTGATCTGGTTCTGTGTGTTCTAGACCATTTTAACCCTCTACTGTGTCTGACTGGTCTTGATAAGCCCTGACAGATTCTGTTCCTTGGGTCCCACCAGCTCTGCTGTGTCTTGTTGCAGGTGTACTCTCCGATGGCAGGCAGTGGGATGGGTTCTGGTCTCGGGATGGCTTCCATGTCAGGCTACATGTCCAGCAACGGGACCACATCTGGCTCCTTCAACATGTCCTACAATGGTACTGGTCTGAATCCTTCCTCAGTAGGGGGGGTAGGAGGCTCAGCTCCGGCACCCATGTCGAGTCTGGGGGGCGGGATGGCTTCCATGGGTGGGGCTTTGAGTCCATCCGGTGTGGGCTCAGTGTCGGCTCAGCAGGCCTCCATGGGCCTGAACCCCTATGGGGGCATGAGTCCCACCATGAGCTCCAGCATGGCCTTCAGTGGAGGTGGGCTGAACCGGACCCGGGACCAGAAAACGTTCAGAAGGAGCTACCCGCATGCCAAGCCGCCCTACTCCTACATTTCTCTCATCACCATGGCGATCCAGCAGGCGCCCAGTAAGATGCTGACTCTGAGTGAGATCTACCAGTGGATCATGGACCTGTTCCCATACTACCGGCAGAACCAGCAGCGCTGGCAGAACTCCATCCGACACTCGCTCTCCTTCAACGACTGTTTTGTCAAAGTGTCTCGCTCGCCGGACAAACCAGGGAAGGGTTCCTACTGGACCCTGCACCCCGACTCTGGGAACATGTTTGAGAACGGCTGCTACCTGCGGCGGCAGAAGAGGTTCAAGTGTGAGAAAAAGATGTCGGTGAAGGGAGACGTCAGGAAGGACCAGATGGTTTCTGGTGGAGGTCAGGGATCCTCTCATGCAGGGGAGTCCACCAAACCCAGTGGACTTCTGGATTCTCCTGTGGCCTCCTCCAGCCAAGTGTCCTCCCACCCTGGTCTGGACCTCAGGGAGGGGGTTGGAGGGGTCTCAGACCTGAAGGTGTCCAGCTCTCAGTTACTGTCTTCATTGTCCCTGCCCCCTCATTCCCTGGCCCACGAGACCCCTTTGCACATCAAAGGAGACCCCCACTATTCCTTCAACCACCCGTTTTCTATCAACAACCTCATGTCGTCCTCAGAGCAGCAGCACAAACTGGACCTGAAGGCCTACGAGGCCCTTCAGAACTCTTCTTACAGCAGTGGGGGCATGTCTGGTCTCTCAGGGAGGACCATGGAGACGCTGGAGGCCTCGTACTACCAGGGGATGTATCCCAGACCCCTGCTGAACAGCTCGTCGTAGCTGCCCGGCCCAGACCTTCTGCATGCAGCTGAACGGGACTCCTGCACTGTGACCATTTTATCATGCTGACGTTTCAGTCTGAGCCAATAAACACTGATCCCAGGTCTGCGGTCTCCTCACACACAGAAACTGCTGAAATGGATTTAGAATCCTGGAAAAGTAAACAGTCTTAAGGAATGTCAAAGGTCACATTCGATTCCTGACAGCAGAGTCAGGTCAGACCCCCTAAAACCAAGACCTCATGGTCCATGACTGTTGGGAGACGCGTCCCTGTTGGACTCAGGTTCCGTTGATCATCTCGTTACAGAACGATCGGGTTATTTTTCAGCAGAAAATTTGTCCGAAAGTGTCTGAATTTTGTCCGGTTTCTTTCAGCATCTGTCCTCCAGCTCCTCCAAAAGTCGTTTCACATTTCTACGCTTTCTGACTCCTGGAAACCAAACTGAGACAGATCCAGACAGGTTCTAGATGGGTCCCAGAGCTGGACCCAGTGAGAGAAAATTTGTCTTGAATATGAAAATTCTCTATTGAATATGTTCAAAATTCCAGCCTCTTGACAGTGAGACCCTGAGACTCATGAGAGCAAACCCTGGAGAACATTTTCGTATGTTCTGTAAAGTCTTTCTGTCTCCAACAGTCATGCCCGGGTGAAATCCTGGTTTTAGAACTCTGCTGATGCTGCGGTTCTTGTCTGGATTCTTCTACGAGGACCAGCTGACCCAACCAGTCTGACCTGGACTCTGTGGTCCTCTTCTTGATCTGGTCAGGACAGTTTGGCATCAGGGTCCTGGACCTGGGTCTGAGTCTGAAGTCGGGTTCAGAGATGAATGTTTTGATTCTGTCAGCAGATCTGAGTTCTGGATCCTGAAGTAAAAACCTTGAACCTGAACTTGGTCCAGGAACTGGACCATAGAGACCAGATCAGAGGTCCCCTCAGCTCTGCTGTCAGTGCTTCAGGTCCAGATCCAGGATGTGTCGGTGGCAGCAGAACCGGTTCATCCTGTGATCGGACCTTTAACGGACCAGCTGAACAATAGATCTCTGACCCTGACCCAGAACTGGTTCTGTCCCGGTCAGGTTTGTTTACCTGATGATGTTGTCCTGGAAACGTTTACAGGGATGGATCACAGAATCATCAGGAAGACGAGGATCTAAATCTCCCACGACCTCGTCTGTCTCCCAGCTGACCTCTTGAAGGGTCATGACCCCCAGTTTGACAATCCCATCGCTGGACCCCCCCCCCCCCCCCCCCCCCACACACACACACACTAACACTTTTGAATCTCTGATCGTGTCTTCAAAGTTAAAGTTCAGCTGCTGGGAGAGAAAATATAAAACACACATAATAACGTTGGTTCTGTTTAACCCCGAGAAAGTTCTAATTAACCAATTATTCCTAATTTAATCAACCAAGAACATTTATTTAAATGAGTCAAAATCAGTAAAACAGCTTTGATAAAAAAGAAATTCTAAAACTAAAAAAGTGAAAGAAAAACAAAAAATACATTTTATTTAGTCAATAAAAAATCTGCTGACTGCACGAGGAAGTGGCTCAGCCCAACACATTCAGAACCCCTACAGAACCAGAACCAGCGCATCACAGACCAAACCCAGAAGCACCGCAGCTGATCTGTTTTTACTGAGCGTGAGATCCGGACCGACCCAAACAGCTGACCCAGAATCAGCCTAAACATCCTGTCCCTCTGGTTTAATGTCCTCCGACCCGGTTCCGCAGACCCAGTTCCACCTGTCTTAATTTAATTTATAAGGAACCAGCTGATGAGCCCAGATCTGAGCAGCAGAACAAGAACCAGAACCAGGCTCTGATGGTGTGTGATTCAGTCTTATATTGGTTGTGTGCATGAATGAGGGGAGAGGTTTCCCGCTGAGTCGGGTCTGTGTTGCTTTTGGACTCTGATGCATGTTCTTAACTTAATGTGTCACTTTTAAATAAAACAAACCGGAAACAATAAAGTTTGTTTCTTTTCTTCTGAGTTCAGACTTTAGAACATGCGCGTGACCATTCTCCACCCGATTTAGATCAAAACAAATTAAACGTAAACAGTTTGTGTGTGTTCGCACATCAGAACCAAATAGCTGATATCAAGTTTCGTTTGAAGAAGAGGTCATTTTGGTTTTAGTGCTAAAATAAAACATTGCTTGTCCAAAATGGGGTCCGAGAGCCGCAGGCGGACCGGTTTTAATTCAAATTAACTAACATTTTTTTATTTTTTTAACGAATTGTTGAAACATTCCTGTTAGGAAATCAGAGGCTAATTTTAAATAGTTTTGAAATAAAGACATCAGCTCATATGAGACAGAATAAAATATAGATAATAATAATAAAAGTCAAATGGAAATAGGCTAATATATTCTCTTAATCAGCGGACAAAATAAAAGAGAATGTTTTCAAGTCACGAGACCCGGTTCCGTCTCAAATTCGGCCAAGCTCGCAGTGATCCTGAACCGGAAAACGCGCACTTTAAGGCGTTTTGGCTCCGGTGATCCCGGAATTATCCGCTCATTAGGCGCAGAAACTGTAGCGGAGCGCTGAAAGAACCGGAACAAAAGGAACGGAACCGAGTCCAAAACACCCCGATGATGATGATTAACTCCAAAATAACAGCAAAACAAACAACTCAAATAACAACAAACAAACAAAGAAGCAGCCGATCTGAAGGTTTTGATTTGTAATTAAATAAATGCTCCGGATTTTAACCAGGCATTAAAATAAAAAGAATTCATATTATTATTATTATTATTATTATTATTATTATTATTATCATCATCAATATAGGTATTGTTAATATTAACATAACAACAACAACAATAACAGTAATTATTATAATTGTTGTTGTTATGTTAGTATAGTTATAATAATAATAAATAATAATAATAATTATTATTAATATTATTTTCTATTTTATTTTCATTATAGATATGATTAATATTAACATAACAACAACAACAACAATAATAATAACAGTAATTATTATTGTTGTTGTTATGTTAGTATTAATAATAGTTACAATAATAACAATAACAATAATAACAATAATAATACTTATTATTATTATTATTATTGTTGTTATTATGGATTTATCCATAAGTCAGACACATAAACCAAAAATACCGACTGAACCGGAACTGTCTGAACGGGTCACACTATCAAACACAATAAACTCACTAACAGCTTCCTGCCATAGAACATATTATGGGATGCTGCTGGTTGAAGATCTAAGAGAATGAACTGGATCTGGATGGAGAAGAATTACAGCTCCTAGAAACCAAGATGAGAAAAGAAAATCCAGTCTAGCATCTGCCTGACGCACACACACACACACACACACACACACACACACACACACACACGCACGCACGCACGCACGCACGCACGCACACACACACACACACACACACACACACACAGGAACATGAATAAAAACATGAGGCTTGTTTTCCAGACCTCACCTTTCTGGGGTGAATTATTCTGCAGGAGGAGCGACTGCGCTCAGGTGTGACCTACCTGTGACTCCTGATGCAGGTTCAGGTGAAAACTGACAGCTTCATTATTTACTTACATCAGCGGCGTTTTAGTCAACTTTTCAGTGTTCTGTGGCTCCAAGTTTTAGATCTTCTGGGAATGTTTTTGGGTTATTCACTGTGTGCCACCCAGTCTGCTGATGTAATACGAGCCATATGTTCCTGGTGGAGACGAGCCAGGCTGCTCAGGACGCCATGTCAGCGGTGTCAGGGGCAGCCTGGGGGCCCGAGCATCGCTTCACTAAAGGCTTCAGCCCCTTTTCTCTCCACTAACGCCTTATGGAAGAACATGTTGGCCACAATACGGCGGCCTTCAGCCTCTTTCTTCCCCCCGTCTTTCATATCCCCACTAGAAAGCCAAGAACAGGGGCCCCAGGGCCACTAAGGCCTTTTGATAGGGATTGGAATTAATTATCTCCAATAATACAATTGTGCTTGGTCAACGAAAAGAGCAAAGAAATCCCCTCTAGAATCAGAGAGAAGAGAAGAAAGAAAGCTGCAGCTTTTCCATTAAAATGATTCGAAGGAAGTTTATTAGAGCTTTGTGTGGCGGTAATATGGATCAGCCAGGAGGTTGGTGGTCCTGGGTGGGTGGGGGGAGGGATGGGGAGGGTGTCAGAGACATTCAGGTCAGTCGGATGGGGTTGTGGCTTGTTGTGGTGCTTTGAATCCATCCTGGTTTGGTATGTGTTGGACCCATGTCTGTTAGGTCATTAGGTTCTGTTATGTCTCCTTCTAATAGTCTCCACCTCTAGATGTCCTCATCTGTCCCTGTTTCTATCCTCACTCACCACCTGTCTCATGAGTTTTAGGGTTGGGTTGTGTCTGATCCCTGGTTTTTCAGTCAGAACCTGGACCAACGATTTCTGCAGGTGCTTCAGCAGGTCAATAACCACATTTTAACACACCAGTTCCATTCAGACGACTTTGAACCATCAACATAACTAAAAACGGACAAAAGGCTCCTTTTGAAACCATGGACAGAGTGTGAAAAGCCTGGACAAGGGGCAGGACGCCCCATCTACTCACCTGGCTGGAAGTCCCTCCTGTTCTTGTGGGTTAGCTTCAATAAACTAAAGCATGAAGATGAAAACTTAGATTAAAGCAATCCAGTTGGTTAAATATGAAAGTTTACCCCCAACCATCATCCTGTTGTCCCAGCATCATTAGTCAGGGACTCAGGTGAGTGACTTCCTGCTTTTAGCCTGTTAAACTGCAGTTTAGAGCTGCAGACGTCACAACCTAAAGAGTGGTTTATCCCAGAGGTCCACCAAAGTAAGCCTTACTTAGAGTTGCAACTGTTACAGAACCTTTTGAAACAAGATATCTTATCACTTTCTATGGAAGAGGGTTAGGGCCACTGAAAAATATCTTCCCTGACATTAACTCAAGAATCCCAACAAAAAGTCTGAATCCATATTCTGACTTTTTTTTAAGATTACATTCAGAAATCTTTTTTTCTTTTCTGTAAACATCTTTTCTCTGACATTTGTTGTCATTTTTAAAAATCACAATTATATTTATTTTGTTAGGTTTAAAATAAGAAAACAAAATAAAATTTTTGCAAAAGGAGTATGGATTTTTTTTCTCTGATGTTGACATTTGCAGGAAATGGATGTGACCCCCTGCTTAAACCTGCGTTTGTGATTCGTATGTTTTAAACGCGAATTAGTTTTTACCTAGATGCATTAAAGGTGTGGTTACCTCGATTATCCAGTAGGGAGCCAAGTCTCCTCCCTTTCCGGTCGGCTCATGGGTCCCCGGAAAAAATAAAAAATGAATGCAAGTCAACGAGCTAAAAGAACTATTTTCTAATCCGCTTTGCCTTACGCACTGGATCACACACATGTTGTACTGCAAAAATTTTTTTCGTTTATTTCATTCAAAATAAAAACAAATAAAACATACATAACAAAAATCAAATTTGAACGAAAAGGAGCAGAATGAAGAAAAACACCTTATAATTTCTGCCCCATGTTCCAGCAGAAATAATTTATTTATATAAAATTTCCATTTGTCAGACACACATTTTAAACCTTTTCCTGTTCTTAATTCCAGTGCGATCGTGATCATTGATTTAATTTACATTTTCATAATTATTTAGTACACTCAATTTGGTAGATTTTTTGAATATATTAAATGACAGTTTTTTTATTTCCCTTTTAAGGTTATTCCATAATTTAACACCATTTACAGATATAATCCATTCCTTAATTTTTGTTCTTAATCTAGGTTTTGTAAACACATCAGTTTCTTTCAGCATGTAATTACTAGTTCTTTTTTCAAATATCCCCTGAATGTTAGTTGGCAGAGCACCTAAATTGGCTTTATTCAATTCAGTTCAATTCAATTCAAAAATACTTTATTAATCCCATAGGGAAATTGATTATACATGGTTTGTATTATTTTCCAGTCTTTTAAATCATGAAATTTCAGTAATTTATATTTAATAAACAATGGGTTCGATGGATCTGTACAGCCACTATAATTGATGAATCTCAGAGCTCTTTTCTGTAAAATAAATAAGGGTTGTGTATAGTTTTTGTATGTTGCTCCCCAGATTTCTACACAATAAGTCAAGTATGGAACAATCAGTGAATTGTACAATGCCAACAAACCAGAATTAGTCAGTAAAAACTTGACTCTATGTAATACTTCTAAGGATTTGGCAATTTTAGCTTTTATGTAACTTATAT